GGCTGCAGGAGAGCCGTGTAAGAGACAGTCAGGGGACACATTTAGAAAGCACGACGGGACCAGGCTGTGGAAGGACCTGAGAAAGTTTCGCTTTTATTGAGGGAGACTGTTGCGGGTTTTTTGAATAGGGCTGTGCGCTCCACATACACTCCAAGAGGTGCCAGTTCTCCCCAGAGGGTGGCTTGGACAGGGCCAGGCCCAGTTAGACAACGAGGCAGGAGGCTGATCTCATCCAAAGCCTCTTTACTTAGAAAGCTGAGGCAGAAAGCTCCCCTCCGAAGCCCACTAGTCCCAGGGCTCGCAGCCCACAGAGTGTGGCCTGTGCCTGGCCGGTAGAGCGTGCAGCTCAGGCCACTGCCTGCGGCCCCTGTGAGTGGCACGCCTGTCCCTGCCTGCTGAGTAGCAGATGATGGCGGAGCACTGGGCCACGGGCAGGGGCAGCTGAAGGCTTCAGAGTCTGAGATGCTGCTGGTGCTCTGCGTTTCTAGAATGTCGTGTGGTTGCATTTACGGAGTACGTGTGTTAACTCTGGGCTCGCTTAGTCCTCTCCAGTTACTCTGGCTCTTCAGGTGAGGAGGCAATGTTCAGGACACAAGTTCAGAGAGGTTAAGCCATCTGCCAAGGACACACAGCTAGTCAGTGGCTGAGCCAGGAGGAGCCGGGGTTGACGGTGTGCTCGTCTGCTGCTTGGCTGGGCCAGGGCTGCAGCCCACCTTTAGCCCCACTTCACCCCCTGTCCCTTCCCTTCCCCTCGGAGGAAGTGAGGAAGTCCAGCTGCGTTCTTGGCTTTCTGCACCCCTCTCCCCCAGCCCTGTCTCTGGTGAGGGCAGAGCTGGCTTGCCGTGGGGTTTGGTTAGCTCATGGAATGTCGGAGCTGGGGGGCCTCTGAGGCCAGACACAGACTTAGCAGAGAAAGTGACCAGCCCAGAGGCACACAGCCAGCTGAGAGACCCCACGTTGGCCCATTACTAAGTGTCACCTCAGCTCACCTTTTGGATATTTCCGGCATGTGCTTTTATTTTTCTGGTTGACACATCCCTGGCACCCAGGCAGCAGGACTTCATACAAGAGATTTATTGTAAACTTTATGCATGCCTGTCTCTAGTTTAACTGCCTAGAGAGGGAGGCACACACACCTTCACGTTGCCGTGAATGTCACTCCGACCCAGCCTTGTGCCCAGAGGCCAGAATGTGGCCCAGATCTCTCACTCCCGCCTGGCCTGGCAGAGGTGGATCCATCAGAGGAGCCTGGGTGGAGGTGCCCGGGGACCCTCTGCCGAGTTTCCCATTGGGAGCCTTTCAGCGGGCCTGTCTCTCTGGCACTCCCTCCATCGAAGGGCAGAGCCCCCCCCCAGGCCACACCCTACACCGCTGTGCGCATTCTGGCCCTGTTCCCTGGAGTCCTGCCTGGCCCCGTCACTCAGCACGAGGCCCGCCTCTCCCAGTGTCACCCTTGTTCTTGGGCCCTTTACGGCCTGCCTTGGTGTCCCCACAGCCCTGGGGACTGGAGCTGGGGCCAGCGTTCCATCCTCTCCCCTCACCCGTGTCAGCGCATCTCCCTGTCACGGTGGGGACAGCTTCAAGGGCAGGGATGGAGGGGCCCGAGCCCAGCGTGGTGCTGAGGGTGGGGTCTGTGGCTGATGTAGGAACGACCCTGTGATCCGGGGGTGGCTTCAGCCCAGAAAGGAGCTCCAGACGAGTGCACTCTGTCCCTACACACATGATTTTTATTCTGTTGGCAGGATGCAACCTGAAGATCTTCAACAACCAAGAGTTTGCCGCCCTCCTGGCTCAGTCCGTCAACCAGGGCTTCGAGGCCGTGTACCAGCTGACGCGCATGTGCACCATCCGCATGAGCTTCGTCAAGGGCTGGGGCGCCGAGTACAGGTCGGGGCTGGAGCGCCTGTCCTGGGGCCCCAGGGATGGAGCTGGCTCAGAACAACAGCACAGGGGCTCCCCACAGATGCGCTAGGCTGGCGCTTGCCCCGAAGAGCAGAGGGACCAGGGATCAGATGGGGCCCGGGTGCCAGTAAATGAGGAACAGCTGAGCGGTGCTCATCCAGGGTGTCAGGGTTTCTCCGGTGCTGGACGCACACCTGTTCCATTTCACCCTCACCCAGTCCTGGGTGGGGACCCTGGCATCGTCCTCGTCATATGGATGAGGGAACAGAGGCCTCGGGAGGTCACACATGAGTGGAAAAGCTGAGCCTAGAACTGCCCTCTTGGCATCTTCCTCATTCATTTTGGGCAGGTGATTTTAAGACGACCCTCCAAGGAGTTAAGTCTTCACCTCACTGTTCCTTCCCTCCTCTCTGGCTCTGGATTACCCTGAGGATCTAGGATGTTAAAACTGAGAAGCAGAGAAGGGAGATCTGGGTTGTCAGAAAGGAACACAGTTTACTTGCTCAGAAAAGAAATGGTATTTTTTCAGCATTTCAGAAGCTGGTTTAAACAGGGCATGGTCAGGGGTCTCCCTGGTCTGCTCTGTTGAAATCTCCCAGACCCGTCTCTCTGGTGTGGGCTTAGAGAATTGTTCCTCTTCTGTCCACACCTGGACCAGAGTTTCCCGCGAGGCGGGTCTGCGGGCCCAGCCCCTGCCCCACAAGCCAGCGCAGGGTACCCACACGTCAGCTGGAGCCAGCGCCTTGCAACTTACTCCCCCCGGTCTCTTCATTTTTCCAGATGTTTGGAATCCATTTTGTTTTGCAGTCATTCTGCACCCGGGCCAAACCCATTTCGATATTGGCTCTGGGCCACCGTTTATAATGAAATCCAGATGAGCATGACTTATGGAAAGTCAGATTCTCATTAGAGGATTTCGGTCCATAAAATCCTCCTCTTTCATTTACCGTATTTTAGCTGCTGTTTCCCGTGTCTGCCCCGCAGTGCCGGGGGACGTCCCACCTTGGGGTCTCTGACATCCGGGATGAGTGACCAGCTGAGCAGTCCAAGTGGTCAGTCCTCAGGAGAACTTACAACCCAGTGATAACGGCCTAGGAGTAACCCAGGCCCAAAGGCCCAGCCTGAGGGACGTTTTAGCCCACCTTTTAGCCTAGGCTGAAATCATTTAGGGGAACACGAGCTGAAAGGGGAGGGGAGATACTTAAAGAGGGACCCAATGGAAAAGAGCCAGAGGGAGGTCCATTTGTCCTCTGAACACTCAGACTGCAGCCCAGAGGGCCCAGCTCAAGCACCCAGGTCAGGAAGGCGCCCCAGGGCCGGGTGCGCAGGCCCCTGCTGACCCTCACTGGGGTGACAGGCCAAGTGAGGGGGTGGCAGGCCAAGTGAAGAGGGTGCCCTCGGGCCAGCGGCTCTCAACCTGGCCCAGCAGGCAGCCGGCCAGCTTCAAGTGCTCGGGAAGAGGCCCCTCGTTGGCGGAAGTCTTTCCCTGGGGGCACTGTGTCACCACACGGGATACGGCCAGCACAGCCCGTCCTGGGCAGCCCACCCCGTCACTGCCGCCTGGCAGCAGCGTGGAGCAGCCTCACTGGCGGTGCGGCCCCTTCCCAGAACCGTCTCGCCCTCCTCCTGCCGCCTCGGCCAAGGAGAGTAAGGTTTCATCCCTTCCTGTGAGGTGGCCGAACGCAGGGCCTGGAGCCCGGGCCTCTCACCTCCAGCTGGCACCGGCGCCTCCGGCCTCAGCAGATAGCCTCTGCCCGGCGGAGGCCCTTGGGAGCTGGCCTGCGGGCTGCGTCATCAGCCAGCCCGAATTTAGACAAAGTGCTGTGGGGAAAAGAAACGTGTGCTGCGCCTCGGTTTTTTCCAGTAATTGTTCCATGGCTCGCTCTGCTCGTAAGATTTTCCAAAATAAGGCCATAGATGGGAATTATATCAGCACATTGGGGACCGACGGCATGTGGACTCTGTCGGCGCTTTGTAAAAAAAACACCCCTCGATCAGACAGACGCACGTCACCGGGGCCTGCTGGGGCTGGACAGGGGAGCTGGGGGTGCCCGCGTGGGGCCGAGGGGCCATGGGGACCTCTGCTCAGGCCGGAGGTTCTCCGTTGGGGGCCCATCATGGCAAACTGGTGAGCCCCTGAGGCACCCTGGAATTTGCCTTACGTGTTTCCCTTTAAGGGTCCCCCGCTTCCCTGGTACAGGAGAACCTGATACACTCAAAGCTCTTCTTCCATGGAGCAGTTTGGCCTGGCAGTCTGAGCTAGTCAGTGGCAGGGTCTAGCAAGGCAGGCCATCTTTCTGGCTCTGGGAAGAAGACTATCACCAAAGCAGGAGAAGGTGTTCTGACTTGGGTATGTGTGTGTGTGTGCGCGCGCACATGCTTCTGGACACTCTGAAGGTCCCCCAACCCACCCATTTCCCTCTATCTTGCAGGAGACAGACGGTGACCAGCACCCCCTGCTGGATCGAGCTGCACCTGAATGGGCCTCTGCAGTGGCTGGACAAGGTCCTCACCCAGATGGGCTCCCCAAGCATCCGCTGTTCCAGTGTGTCTTAGAGACAGTGGGTGTGAAGGGGGCGGGAGGGGAGGGTGGGCTTGGGGGAAACGGCCAGGTAGGAGGTGGAGAAACCAGAACTCAACTCACTGTTGTCAAGGAAGAAGAAATTTTTCTCCCTCAACCAAAGTGGCACCAGCCTGTTTTCCAAAACACAAAAACAAACCCAGAGAGGGATTTTTATGAACAGCTGTGTCTGCTGAATACATTTGCCCTTCGGCCCCAGTTTGAAGGGCAAGAAATGGCTTCTGCTCTGGTCGCTGGAGCACAGACAGGTAGCAGTTCCCCACCTGCCCCCTCCCCCAGCCCCCTTCTTTTTTAATGAAAGCAAACTGGGGTGTCACTGTCCAACAGGAAATGGCCCTCTGTTCAGGACCAGAGTGTGGAAGTCACCTTGGGTGTTCTAGGGAGGGAGACGCCTGCAGAGGCATGAGCACACCTCGGACACAGCCCCCCTCTTCACCGAGCGTTCCAGAACCCCCGGCAGCAGCAGACCGAATACCCTGGGGGCTGGATCGACTTGGGCCAGGGAGGGGGCTTGTCTGTCCCCACCCCTCAGAGCACACCGAGTGGCATGGCGCGAGCGGGCGTGTTATGGACGGGCACACACAGATGGTGGGAAAAGGCGGCAAGGCAACTCTTCTTTAAAAATGCTCTTAAAGTTGTCCTCACATTCAACAGTTGGAAGGCTCTGTTGAGGCTCAGTACATACGCAATGTATAGTTTATACCATCACGTTAATCTCAAAGAGATTTGACTGGCGTGGAGTATTTACACAAAGCAAGAGGCAGTGTCCGTGAGGGCGTTCGGCTGAAGGCAGCACTACGGTGTGCGGGGTCTTGAGTCCCCTGTAAGCGCTCACTCCGTATTCTCATGCATTCGGCTATCCTGGTGGATGTCGTCACTTGCATTAATTAAATTAACTTGATTGTATGCTCTTTACAACGTTTGTTTTCTATTAAAAAGCAAACCAAGCAACCCTGGGTTGGCACACTGGCTGGGAAACCAGAGCGGACACCCAGCAACTTCTCTCCCAGCGTGAAGCTTCTCCAGGCTTTGTAGAGAAGACACCTGCCAGCACTTTTGGAAGCTGAAATGAACAGAAGCAAATTCACCAGGAGGGAAAAATCTCAGGCCAACATAGGCAAGTGAAAGGGCTATTAAAAAATTTTTTTTTTACACCTTTGAAAATTGCAGGCTTGGTGCAAAGAAGTCTGTCATCTTTCTCCTGGGACATGAAATTATCTGGCTCACGGTAGAGGCTCATCAGAGACAAGTGTGGCAGTTATCTGGTGTCATAAGTACTGCTCCCAGTGGCAATTAGTGAGAAAACGATTATAAATTATTTCAACTGGAAAAAAAAAAAGAGCCCTCTTTACTGGCCTTTTGCAGAACACAGCAGACAGGATTGCCGCTTGCAACTGGTACTTTATTCTTTGCTGCTGTTTTTTGTATGAAATGACTTATGCCATATTTTTGCATGGATTTCTACCAGGAAAAATAAAGGGATTTCCTATGGAAGTCCTGTCTTATTCCAGGTGAAGGGAAGAAAGTGTCTACTCTTGGCAGGTATAAACCTCAACTGTGATGACATTTCTGATGTTTATGGAGATGTTGGGGGCCTCCCGGCGCCTCACTTGCAGGGTCCTGGGCCTCTGAAGCTCCAGCCTTGAGGTTTCCAGGTAGGAGAGCTACTTGCCAAGCCTCTGGAGGACACAGGAAGAGACGGAAGGAGCATCTTGCCAGACCTGGGCTAGTCTTCGTGCAGGGCTGTTGACACGGAGCCCAGAGACAATGCGTGACCCTTCACTCCACCTGAGAGGGTCAGATCTGCAGGTCTGACGTTTGTGCCTGGTGTGAAATAACTGTGAACGGCTTCTTGCAGAGTCAGGAAGCCGTCTGAACCTCCTGGATGTGCGATCCTGCTCCCAGTCAGGTCTGAGACTCGCGGTATGAATTACTTATTCTGTTTCGGCCTTGGCCGGAGCAGTCGTGGTGCCCCCTCTAAAAGCCATGGGCAGCAGCCTCTGAGGGCCTGCGTTCTCCACCTGCTTCGTGAGCCCCTCTGAAGGCTTCCTGTGGCGCACCGCTGTCCCCCAGCTACTTGGGAACTGGCCTCAGGTACAGCCCAGTTTGGGCGATCCAGTGGTCACGTCTGGCTGCATTCGGATGGTGTCTTAGAACCCTCGATGCTCAAGGCTACTTCTAGGAGGTATGAAGTGTTAGTATTGTGTTTTTCCAAAAGCTACTTACTTGGCCCTTTATAGATGAGACGCTGGAGGAGGATGCGTGAGGAAAAGGCGGGGCAGCCCCCCTGCAGCACCACTGAGGGTAGGACCTGGTTTCCCTGCTGTGGAGGCACTGTGAGACCTGTGTAGTAGGAGTCTCCTTCAAGTCAGAAGAAGAGTTTTAAAATCTTTTGCATAAAAGGCATTTATACATTAAAAGTTTTTAAAGGACAGCTGAACGGGGCAAGAGGAAATCAGGGCAGGTCTGGCGGGGAGGGGGTTGGGAACAGTAGCTGGGGGTTAGCATTTTAAGTGCAGTCGCCTAGGCTGCACGACCTGCCCTGTGCCCCTGCCCCGGGCTGCCCGCCAGGCCGCCGGCACCTTGCGGCTTGTGCTGACGCTGACCTGACAGCCCCTCCAGCCTGCCTGGGGGTGGCGGGTGCAGAGCCTGGCCTCGGCACCTCCCCAGGAGCCAACTTCTGGTCCCTCTCCTCTCCTCCCGGCGTCCTCCCCCCTCCTAACTTTATTTAGTACTTGGAGCCTTCCCGTGCCAGTAGGCAGCCGCCCGGCGGTTCGGGTTACCGGCCTGTGCTGGCCCGTCATCTGGGCTGGCCCCCTTCCTGGCAGGCCGCGGAAGACCTGACATTTTGAGACAAGCCCAGAGTCAGGAGCGGGGGGCTTGGACTCTTCTCTTAGGAGGAACACACATGAGGGCAAGGCTGCTGGCAGACTTTTCCATTGTCCTTATGTTGTCTGTGCTGTATTTTTATATTGACCGTGGTGATTATTTTTTTAAATCATTGTTAATGTATTGGAATGAGCTGTATAGCACGTATCTTGTGCTTAGTTTGTTTTTCTCCATCTCCCTTTGGCTTCCTAGAGTTTGGATATATTCCAGGGCTAAATGCTTTTACTCAAACCGCAGAAAGAGGTTTTCTTTAAGTAATGTGTGCATGTCAAGCATGTGTGTGAGGCGCTTGGGGAAAAGGCAGATATCTGGTTTCATTCTCAGCCCCAAGCTGCCCTTTCGGAGGCTCCGTGCGGGTCTGCAGGGCCGGAGCTCCCACCAGGCCACTCTCCGGAGCCTTTAGGAGGGAGGGGCAGGACGCTGCAGCCTGCTCGTGCTTGTTTACCAAGGGGGTGACTAGTAGCAAGAGCAGGCACGAGTTTAGTTCTGGACCCTCTGCCTTACTGTGTGACTTCAAGTGGCAGAGGTGGGAGTTTTCCCCAAATTTCCATCTTTGCTAGAAGAAAACTTCGACTTAACACAGCCAAGTTGTACCATTTTTCTTCGTGTGGCATAGACACTCCCCTCTAGAACCCTTTCAAGTAAGTCTTTCAGGAGTATCGGCCACTTCTCACGTGGGTGGGAACGCAGAGAAATGGACACAAGAGGATATGGATCAAAATCAGACGGAAGAGTCGGGAAATGACTTGGTACACAGGCAACCTTCCAGAAACACGGCTATCAATCACACAGAGATACTCGCCTATTGTGTAAACTGGATTGAGAAACTCAAGTGATTTTTTTTTAATGCTTAAGTAATGCCCACGTGAGCATTCTGTTGTTTTTATATTTATGTAATAATTTCTTAAAACCATTCAAGACAGATAACTATTTAATTTGTTGAAGGAAGAGTCTCCTCCCGAGGACAGCAGCTGGGAAGAGGTGGGGGCACAGCCAGTTCTGAATGGCGCTGGAGGGCGCGGTGGCTTCTTGGCTCAGCATCGAGAGCCACCCTCCCCCCTCCCCCCAGGCTGGGGTGACTGGCAGCATGTGACACAGGCAGCTCGGAGTCAGATGGAGGCCCTTCCGCAGGGTCCTCTGAACCAAGCCCCTCTCCCTTCCCAGCGGTGAGAACTTGACAGAGGGAGGGAGCCCCTTCCTCCCGGAAGCCTTCACCCACCCTCGCTGCTGCTCTTGCGACTGGGCTGGTCGGTGCGGGATCGCTCTGGTGTGCGTTTGGGTGGGGAAGACGCTGTGGAGGACGTTGATTACCTTCACTTCTCAGCCCGCCTGACCTTTTAATACCTTTGTAAAAAGCATGTATGTATTTATAGTGTTTTAGATTTTTCTAACTTTTGTATCTTAAGAGCAGCGCCCCTGTCGAAGCATTGTACCCCTACTGTTAAAGACCTGTGTCCTCTCTCCTCCTCTCCCTCCATAAGTGCCCTTCTAATAAACTTTTCATTGCAAAGCTGCTGTGGCAGAAGCTCGCTCTCATTCTTGCTGCCATGTCTGGGTGAGGAGATTTAAGCAGGTCCTGGGGGCTTCTGAGAAAAGTGTGTCCAAGCCCAAATGCTCTGGGACCAAGGATGTGCCAGGCCCCACTCTGCCACTGCCCCGCGGTCCTCGCTCACTCACCCAGGGCCACGTGCGGTGCCAGGCGGTCCTTCAAGGATGGCAGAGTCTCCAGGTCGGGCGGGCAGAGGGCTGCAGCCTCATGGCTCCCCACATCTCAGCGCTGTGCCAGTCCCGTCGCCACTGTCTCCGCGTGGTCACTAGCATTTGTGGTTCATCTGCATCATCTGCAAGCATTGTCCCTTGGGCAAACGACTGGATGCCACCAGAATCATTTCACCACAGGCATGGAGGTGTTGATTGCTAAAGAAGTAGGTTTCCACACGTTCCGGCTCAGACGACTTAGCTCCTGTGAAAATTCATTTTAAATTCCAAACTCCCAAGGAGAAAGAGACGTCAAAGTTGTCTCCTTGGCTGAATCTTACACTGACCCCAGATAATGTGGATTAAGAAACAAGATGATTAAAATGAGCAATTTCGGGGGAGGAGAAGAACGGAAGTGGGCAGGGGCACCTCTCCAGCAGCCTGCCTGCTAAGGACCTGACCAGAGCCCAAACACTCCCCACACCAGGAGGGAGGCACATTTCACAGGAGCAGCACCTCTGAGCCTGTGGCTTTGGCCTCCGCGAACCACACATCAAATTTTAGCCAGTTCTACCTTCCTAAGTGACTCTTCCCCCAGGGTTTTGTCCAGTCAATTTCTCAGCACGTGACTCTCAAATCCATGCCTCCAACCCAACCTGTGCCTTGAGCGCCACAACTTTAACTTCCAGCTGCCCGTTAAACGTGATCGACGACGACGCGCCCCAGACTCGGTCATCCTCCACCTCGCTCGAGCCGAGTGCCCTTACCTGACTGCCCCCCATGTTCATCAGGGGTCTCCCGGCCTCCCCTCCTCAGCCTCCAAGTCCAGGGCAGCTGGTTGCATTCCTTTTCCTTGTCCCCCACCCCCTGTGCAGCTGCCCCTGCTGATCAGACCTCCCTCTGGAAAGGCTGTGACATCGGGCTTCTGCCTGGCCCCCTCACACAATCTCTTCTTCTGGGGCCCACGCCTCCTCCTCCTCCTCCTCGCCCCGTGCTGGTGTCCCCAGACCACTGTGTGTACTCCTGACATTCCTCCCTGAGGGATCCCGTCTGCCAGCATGACTTCAAGCCACATAAATGCTAATGAGCCTCAAATCAGGATTTATAGCCCAGACATCAATCCCCAGCCTCAGACTCGTATCCAACAGCCTGCCAGCTGCTGGTACATGGAGGGGCCACAGATGCCTCAAACTCAGTGTAAATCGGGAGTTCATCGCCGCCTTATTAAACCACCTCCCTCTCCTGGCCTCCAGCCTCGCTTTTGTCAGGACTCTTTAGTCGCAGCCACAAAGTCGCCATCGTCCAGCACTGCCTCACTCCCCACAGCCCACTGGTCCAGCTCCTCCACACTCATGACCCTGTACCCAGCATCCTCTGGCGCCTGGACCACTACCTGCGTGGCTCCCTAACTGCTCCCCTGGCCGCCAGCCTGCTCTCCCAGAGATGCACCATCCACCCCGCCCTCAGTGACCCACCGGACCTGCGCGGCGCCCCCCCACCCCACAGCACAGACCCTAAGGCAGTTCACATGGCCACGTGACCCTCACCATCTGGCCGCGACCCACCCTCACAGCTCGCTGCCTCACCCCTGCCCCCCAGCCTGGTGTAGCGCAGTTCCTTGTATATCACACCAGCCCCCCTGACGACTCGGCTTGGGACGGCAACTCCCCTTCCCCAGTCTACACCCCCGGCCACACCCCCTACCCCAGCCTGAAACACCACCAGTTCACGTGGCTAACCTCCACTAAATGCTTTGAGACTCAGTTCAGACCTGGCCTCCAGGGAGGCCTTCCACACGTCCCTCCATCACCAGTCTCAACTGTGTGTCCGTCCACTCCTCCAGGCCGAGCTCCCTGACAGCAGGGTCTACACCTTATTCTTGTTCCCTGAAGAATTCCTACATCGTATTCTTTCCGCCACCACATATTTTTGCTAAATTGAGTGAGTTAGTGCCCACACGTAGTAGATTCTACCTTAGCAATATCTCTTCCATCCATTTCCACTGTGCCATCCCCCATGTAAGTCCTTTCATGTGGCTGAAGGCATACCACCAACGTTCAGTTTCTCCTTACCTTTTACCACAGCGATCCCAGCAGTCTCCTAATTTGTCTCCCTCTAGCCCAGGGCTGGCAAGTGCAGGGCAACGTTACCATTTCCTCTTTATCCAGGGCGAAAACCACTCATCACAGCGCTCAGTCCATTCTCAGCCTCAGAATCCTTCTCAACACAGCTCTGCAACAGCTGGTGTTGGCTAATGCTGCTGCCAGACTTCCCTGGAATGAATGGTTGCGGCTCCATGTCTTTTCTGCTCTAAACCCCTTGGCTTCTTGATTACCTCAAGAGTAGGCACATAGTGTTAAGGATCTCAACATCACTCCCTCCTTATCTACCAGTAATTTCTCTAAGTGGGTTACTGGGGTTTTCCTAGCATAAACCCTTGTTTCCTTATTTCTGTACCTTCGTTCATGCTATAACTTCCACTAAGAATTCTGCAGCCTCCACCCACCTATCTGCCCAAAGTCTCGTCCCAATAGCTCAATTCAAGCATCACTTCTTCAGTCAATGGGTCTCAGTGTCTCTCTGGCCAGCAGCGTTAGTGTCACCTGGGGAGGGAGAGCCCCACCTCCCCAGACCCCCCACCAAGACCCTGGGGCAGGGCCCTGCAGGTGATTCTGACGTGGGCTCAAGTTTTGAGAGCCACCGCTCCACGGCGCATTTTACGCCCTTCCCAACCCGCTCCGCGCTCTCCTTCCCAGAGCAGCTGAGGCTGGGCACAGCACCCCTCACAGCCAGCCCAGCATTCCCCTCTTGCGGCCTCGCCCTGCTCTCCCCCTTCTCCCACCTGAGGTGGACGCTGAGCTCCCGGAGAACCCAACCCATACCCTTACCCAAGTCCGCGGCCCGGCACCAGGAAGGGTCCCCGTCGAGTCAGTGCTCGCTTCCCCTCACCCGGATAAAGCAACAGGTTCCAGGTGCTTGTTCTCAGCTTCAAGTTTGAGGCCTTCTAACACCA